CAGGAATTACAAATGGGTCATCATAAAAACTTCTTGATTTAGTACTGCAACACTTATGAGTTTTTTGGAAATTACGAGCTTTGCCAAACGCATGACTCCTTGTTCAAACAGTTGTGAAGTTCTTCAAATATTATGGGATTTTTTCCATGAAGTGAGACCCTGTGTACTCTGTCAAACTGGATTTAATTTCAGTACCTAGATCCCCATTTTCTGTGGCATTGCTAAATGTTTCCCAGCAGCTTCAGATAATTAATAAAAGGCTTTTTGAGTTTTACTGAGATAAATGTAAATTATTAATGTGGCCTGTACAATAGCTAATATTTTGCTCAGTGTTTATGCTGTTTTGATGCATTGTGGAAATTCTCTTCTGTGTGCCTTTGAAAATTACAGTGACCTTTCACTGATGAAGCAAAGTAATCAAATAGGAAATGGGGTCTTCTCTGATACTGAATCTGTGGATGTTGTACTCATTGCGTAAGTTATGCTTGAATACCTGTTACCACCAGTTGACAGCGTCTTGTGTTTGTGACAGGTAGGAAATCATGCTTCCTGGCAGTCGTTACACAGGTACTGTTGGACAAGGCAGTTGCAGCACCCTGTGCTGATGAGCAGGGAGCTGGGCGCCTGTTGCTGCTGTCCTGAAAATGGGCAAATTTTTATGGAACTGGTGCTTGACTCATCAAACGTGTGCTTGTCTTTGGTAAAGGAAATGTGGTGATGGACAAGAGCAAATATTGTATTGCAATGCTTTTTATGATAGCATTGTAAATAAAATTCCTGTTGGTAAAGTGGAGCTGATCCACAGCAGGCTCAAGATACTCTTTGTCCAGTAAAGACACTACCGTTTTGTTCCAGAGCAGCACTTGTCAGAATCTTAGTCACAGATGGATTGCTATTGGCCTGAAGTAAACAAAGGCAGCTCATGTGGTAGGAGGAGTGTGATGATCTAATTAGTTGGCTTTCATTGGGTTTGGTGAGAGAGAATTAGTGTGCATCATGAAACCTCTCAGAAAAAGCTGAGGATTTTAATCTTGTTGGACCTCTTGCCCTAGAAGGGAGAATTTGTCTTTGATTCCAAGGTGGTATTGTTCCATCCTAATATTGAGATCAAGATACACAGATTGATTCCATGCCATAGTAGTATGGGAATATGTGGAAATTCCCCTCAGAAATGGATGAGCTATAAGCTAGGCATTAAGAATCACCAGTACATTTGCATCTCCTGGGTTACTGCTCACATCTAGCTCTTTGACTTGCCTTTAAGAAGTGTGTATTTAGTTGCCCTTTATGCATCAGTTTCCCATGTGTCTTTCCTGTGTCTAGTCATATTCTGTGTGTTGATGACTCTTACAAAGGACTGATGAATATTTTTTTAAAAGCTACAAACATATTGTGAAGTGTGATTTTTAAACCTGGTGTTGACAAGGTAACAAAATCACAAATAAGCTTTCTGTAGCTTTTACCACATCCCTTGAAGAATGATTGAACCATATTGCTTAATCATTAGTTTCCCTTTTGCTGCATCCCATTGCATAAGGCCAGTGTAGTCTGATGATTGTCATCTGAAGTGTATGCCAAAACTTGGTCCAAGCTCCCCTCTGATTTTGTAGTCTTTGCTCTCTTCTTTCCTCTAATACCAGAGATATATTTTTGGTGTTCCTCTGGCTTTTGCTGCAGGAAGTAAGATTACATGTTCCCAGTGTTGCATGGAAATACAAACAAAATCTCTTTGCTTCACTGGAGCCTGTGTATTGAGACCTGATGAGGAAAGACAACTGTGTACAGGAATCTTGGAGCCCGTTGTGTTAAGACAACATGTTGATGAAAGTTTCTGACTTAGAAAGCTCAGGAAGATTATTACCTGGATTTCTGTCCAGCTTTGTTAGTCTACAAAAAAAAAAAAGTCTACAGTTTAGTGTCTAGATAAAAAAAAATTACCTTTGGGGAGGCAACGTGATTCCTTGTCTAATCAGAATCCTTCAGCAGATGATTGTGGACCCTATTTAGGTGTGTGTGAGTAGAGATGTTGAGGTGATTCTTGGTGAAAGTTTGAGTGTGTCATCTCTGCTGGTCTCTTCATCTCATTGCTGGGGCTCTGAAAGTTATGGGAAAGAACAAAGATAAAGGTGTTCTTTCAGGTCTCTGGAAAACAGTGCCACAAGAGGGTGCTTGTGAAACCCAAAGGTCTCTCTGTTAATGGGAGACTTTCCTAGCCCTCTGGCAGTCAGGAGAGTTAATAGGTTGAAGCAATGGTCTTGAGGAATTAGTTGTAGCCCAATGATCTTGCTTTATGGAGGTGCTGGAAGAGTTGTGACAAGCTACAGTTGCAACTCTGTGGTTAGTAAAATACAGCAAAGCTTTGGAGACTGGAAACCGTGATTCTATGAAAATGTCGCTGCCTCACTCAGAAATGCCCAGTGGTGGGTATTAATAGCTTCTCCTATTACCACGTTGTTTCGGACTCTTCTCCCTTCTGTAGTTAAGTCACTTCCCAGGCTGTTCTGCTGCAGTCTGCTCCACTACAGGAAAACTCACAGCTACCTGTCTGTAGCCTCTCTAGCCTTCGTTGGTCTGAAACTCCCTACTCAATCCACTGCTTTCTTCTTCTTGTCAAGTGCTTTATGTTGTCGGGGAGGAATGCAGAAGGGCTGAGGGGGTTTCACTGGATGAAATATGCCTGCAGAACTCGAAGCGTGCTAAAGCCTGAGCTAAAAACGTGCAGGAACATTGGGAGTTTTGAGGGATGGAGTTGACATGAGGGAGAGGCTGGTGAAATGTGTATATTTGGATGATACGAAGCATCTCAACCTCGTGCCAGCAGAGCTAATGGAGTCCTTACCAATCAAAAGAGCAACTCATCACAACAGAACTGATCTCAGGCTTGACTTTCTTTGGTATGGTGTTGCATGACCTTGCTGTTCTCTGCTCCCAGTTTCCCCCCATGCTTGCTCTTCCAGCTGTTGAAGCCCATCTGTCACCTTTATAATTCACCTCCTCATTGTTTCCCCTCATTACGAAATTTCTTGGGGAGAAACAACATAAAAGTGACCAACTGGGGTTTTTTTTTTGCCTTGTTCTGTTTTTTCTCCATGTTTTGTGCCTTGCATCCGTTATCTGCATTTGTGCAAAGGCTCTCTTATATTTTTGCGTGTAACATGATGGAATCTGATTCTGGATTTTTAGATGCTATAGTAATGCAAGTGATGTCTAGGCAAGCTCATGGATTAAAGCTGAAGAGATTTGTTTGCAATTTGTAGTTTAGTTACCTACAGCAAGAGTTTTTATTTTTAATCGTATAGTAGTGGCAGTGCTTTAGAAAGCTCCCAAACCCAAACATCTTCATGGTTGTGTGTCTGAATACTTTTATTTACCAGTGAGGGGTGGGGGAAGAGCAACCTTTTCTGCAGCCAACCTTTCCTGCTTCATGTTATCTCAGACAGTTTTCAAGACTGATGGTGACTGTTGAACTCTTGAAATTGTGGTAGCTGTTGTTCTAAATGGCAAACTGGCATTTACTCCAACCATGAATTGAGGAAAAAATAATTGAAGCATCCTTCAGAAGTACTAGTTCAAGGGGGGGGGGGAAAGGCTTCTTGCTTTGTGGTCTCCTTCACAGCAAAGGTAGGATCTTGGGAGGCGTTGTACATCAAAGTTATTCTTAATGCATTATTGAGCCCTCTCAGCCCCTCTGTTGAATTTTAAGGGGGAACAGAATAGTTTGTGTTTAAACACAAAACACCTGAAAACAGGCTTCAAGTTATACAGCAACTATCCCCTTCCAGCTGTGGAATTCAGGTTCAGCAAATGCCTGATAGAGCAGTCTCCTGTTCTGTTTGTAGGCTGTCTCCCAACACTATGGTGACGCCCCACAAGAAGAGCATGTTGGGAAATGGAAACTATGATGTGAACGTGATCATGGCAGCGCTTCAGACCAAAGGATATGAGGCGGTTTGGTGGGACAAGCGCAGGTACTGAGAAGTTGTGTAATTCTGGAGATGGCTGCTGTTTGTGAAAATGAGAGAGAGATTAAGTATGAGAGAGATGAAGTTAAAGTGTCAGAATATAATCTTATTGCTGGTTTTTGCACTCTTTCAGGGATGTTAACATCATTGCCCTGTCTAACGTGATGGGCTTCATCATGAATCTGCCCTCCAGCCTTTGCTGGGGCCCCTTGAAGCTCCCCCTCAAGCGACAGCACTGGATCTGTGTCCGGGAGGTGGGAGGCACCTACTACAACCTTGACTCCAAACTCAAGGTGCCCGAGTGGATTGGAGGTGAAAGTGAGCTCAGGTAGGATTTTTTTGTATGCTGTTCCTCCTCAAATCCTTCCCTGTTGAAAGTGGGGAATCTGTCCTTAAACAGTTAGCGATTGTAACATTTATGGTTGACCTTCAGTTTGAGAGCAGTAAGGTTGTTGTACCTCCACTTAGATTTACACCCTGTTTGCACAAAGCTAGGAAAATGCTTTCAGCAGTGGTGATCTCTGCAAACTCAGGAGAGCCTGACTTCGTCTCTTACGTGGCTGGTCTGTCAGTAGTGATGAAGGTAGAGGCCAAGTCTGGTATTAGTGCGTGAGACCTGCAACGAGATGTGCTGTGCCTCGCTCTCTCCTCGGACTGTGAGAGTATCAGCATTCCTTTGTCTCTTTAGTAGTGATCTCTGTGCCTTTTTGTTCCCGACAAAAGGCTTTCCAGACTGAAAGGCCAGCCTTATCCCTGACAGCAGTGAAAGCTGCTTGCTAGGAGTCACTCGCCTGTGTAAGCATTCGCTGGACTTCTGCCTTGACTCTCTTTAATCTTAATGGGAGATGGTTGCTGTAATTACTTTGACTGTCAAGTGTCACCTGCTCTTAAGTTGCTGTTTAGTTTCAATTCCATCCTATTCTAAAGCCTACTAACAGCTTTGCTGACTCAGCTAGACTTGTTCTGAGGGATTGCACATGAGCAGTATTTGCAGAGCCTACCACGCCATGAAAATCTTAGTAAAGTGAGTGTCAGCCTTTTGTGAACTTCTGGGACGAAGTAAAGCAGTTCTGGAACTGCTGCACAGAGCTTCTGGTAGATTTTATCCTGGGTGTACTGTTCTTTGGCGATAAATAAGGGCTTGCTATACAGGGAAATTTTGGACATCTGAGCTGAAGATATCGGAGAAAACATGGATTTGATTTTCATAGTTACTGGAGATAATCCAAGTTTAGAAAAAGCTTAGGGATAGAAAGAGGCCGCAGAACCATGTTAAATGACCAGGTGTTATGCTGCTCCTACAACCTGCAATAAGGACATCTAAATTATGGGGGGTTTGTCCTACAAGTATCCCAGATTTGTTGGAATTATTTTAAAATACATTGGGATTCTTGATCTCAGAGATCTGAAGAAACTGAACTTGGTTTTAATTCTACTTTTGCCACCTTGGAAAATTGGAAAGTGATATCCATACAGACTTCTGCAGAGGTTAAGATGGTGCTTATCTGATTCTGCAATAATGTGCTGGGTTAGAGGTGTGTTGACTCTTTTGGGGCAAGTTTAACATTGGGGGTTTTTTAATTATCAGAAAATAACCTAAGACAGTGTGTGGGGATTTCTTTCCGTTACTTGTCATGTTTGCATAGTTAGTTGCATTTAGTTGTTGTAGAAGACGACAAAGTTCTACATTGAGTAGTGCTTATTTTTGCTTCTCTTTACGATAGGAAATTTTTGAAACACCAGCTGAGAGGAAAGAACTGTGAACTCCTGCTGGTGGTGCCAGAGGAGGTGGAAGCACATCAGAGCTGGAGAGCTGACGTGTGACCTGATCAACTCTGTCCTCCCACTACAACTTTTCCCCTTTACTGAACTCCCAAACATCCTGAAACCTGGATAATGGATGCCCTGACTCTTCTCGAACTTCCTTCGTTAGGCTCTTCTCTTCCCTCCTTGGTGCAATAGGGCAATGGTGTAGGACGCTGGGGGGTGGTGAGTGGGGAAGAATTGAGGGCAGAGTGGAGGAAACTGGAAGCCAATCACTTTAATTGCGAAGGCAGTTGAGCTGCGTGCCCTTCAGCGAGCTAGAAGGCATTATGTTCTTTAAAACCGCGCTTTGGGGCTAGGTTGTCTGGAAGCTGCTGGCCTCCCTTTCCCAATGTCTGTCAAGGCTGTGTGTGGTGGCACAGTGCTCCCTCCCGGGCTTGCCGGGGAGGAGGAGGGGCCGAGCACACTGCCACCTTTTCACAAGTTTCTCCCTCCAAAATGAGTCATCATGAAGATGTTTGCAATTCCTAAGGGTCTCTCAGGACACTCTCAAACACTAGGAATGGTACGGTGCTCAGCACGACCCTCTGCTTCTTAGGGATGGTTTATGCCAGGAATTAGAAAACAATAATAAAAACAGTGTCATCTTTCAAGAAATTCTTTGGGTAGATAGAGGATTCTTCCCCAGTGTCCCCAGAGAGTTATGTATGTGGCGAGCAGTTGTTTGGCAGCATCTGGCTGGCTAAGATGATGTGGAAACAGCAAGCACAGGGTAACTGAGGAGTATCAAGTTTCCGGACTGGAGGGAGGCCAGAGTCTGCTTGGGTTTCTTTGTGCTATGTTGGGGGTTTTTTTGTTGTGTTTTGTTTCTTTAACATCTATTTTGGTTTTCTGCATGGTCACCCAGTAGCTTAGGGGCTGCTCAGAGAGAGGAATAAAACTGAAGGGGTTTTGAGAGGAATTAATTCCCTTTTATTTTCCTCTGTCCAGAAGTCTGTCCCACAGTCACAAATGTCATGTGAAATGTCCCAGAAAGAGGTAAAGTTAACAAAGAAAAAAATGGGTTGAGGAGGGAAGCCCTTATAATAGGTTTTGCCCTTTTTATAGCTACTGGGTGATAATGTGGGAGATGCAGAGGGTCCACCAGAACCTTCAGGCATTAGAGAGACCCTGGCCAGGTAGTTGAACCAACTTCTAGAGTTGTCCAACAAACATTCCATTATTGGACAAATCACTTTTTCCTCCCAGAGAAGAGTGACTAGACATGGAGATGCATCTTCACCAGCTGTTTCCTGGTCACCAGGGCGAGCTGGTCATGCCTTCCACAGCAGGAGGAGGAAACACTGAATTTGGAACAGACTTCGTTGCGTTTAGCTCTTCCTGGCCCAGCTGCCGTTTGCTTCCCTCTTTTACGCGTGGGATGTGTCGATGAAACAGCAAACTCTGAGACGTGACAGAGCTTGAAGGATCCTGCTCCATTGTGCAGGCAAGTCTCATTACTGGTGTTTGAGCTTGCAAAAGAAGGGGTTGTAACTACCTTTTCCCAGTTATTTTTCTGTTGAGAGCTCCGCAAAAGTGGGTGTTTGAAGCTGAAAGACCACCAAACTTGCACCTTCTAACAGAGAACAGAGGCCACATGACAACAGGATGATGCTGTTCACCAACCCCTGGACATCTGGCAAGCACCATTTTGCAGTCTTTGAGCACAGCCTCCCGCAGTCACAAGGGCAAATGGTTCTTACATGTTAAAGACCCAATGTTTCTATAAAAAGTTCTATTTTGTAACACATTCCACTGACCAATACCAGCTGGTAGAGTTTTTAAACACTTTACAGGCAGGATGTACAGCCTGCAGGCATTCTGCTCGTGACTTGAAGCCATTTCTTCAAGAGGGGAAGGGGTGGGGGGGAATAAATCTCAACAGCAATGTTTTCTATGCTGATGAAAGTTGCACTTTGGAGAAACCCTGTTTGCATGGAAACTGCAAGCCAACAGATCAGTGCACAATATGCAAAGATATTTTAAAACATTTTGGGGCTACTTTCCTCTCCTTGTATGTCAGCACCTTTCATGTGTGGGGGAACCAGTGTGATCCAGCTGCTCAGGTAAAGGGAAAGTGTATGATCACACCCCCGCAGGAGGTGAGGCTGCTGTGCCTGAGAGGGTGGGCAAGCTGGTTGAGTCCCACCACTTGGGAGTGGGGAAGCCCGTTTGTTTTCTTGCTTGTTTGGTTTTGTTAGAGCCTTGTCTTGGGTTTGTTTACAGAGATGTATTTTGTTTAACCAAATATTAAAAATGGAAAAAAACATTTCCATATAAATGTCCTATCACTTCTGTATGTTCAACTGAATTGTTCTGTAACAAAGTATGTAAAGTAAAAATAAATTTTTTTTCTTTGGTTATAAAACTGCAATCTTTCTGCTTTTAAGAATGTCAAAAGTTGGTCACCTCTCAGAACTCCCTTAAGCCATGCAAGGCATTCTTTGCCAAAGCTGCATCTATCCCTATCCCCCCAGGCCACGTGTAAACGGGAAGAGTCTCTAGAAGCAAAGCCATTGACAGCTCTGAAAGAACTGAGGCTCCCTAAAGGACATCTATTAAAACCACACTGCTCAGGTTGGATTTATTTAATATTCAATACAAAAAAATACGCGGCTGATAATCTGAAGTTCTACTTTATGAGGCAGAGGATCAGCGCAGATGTGATCGTCTTGAATATGGCCTGCTGCTCCCTCGGTACTCACACACGCACACATACATATGAAGTTGCAGTGAAAGGATTTTTTTCACACATCTTCCTGGAGAGTGTTTTTCACAGGGTATAGCTACCCACACCCCTCCTTCCTTTGCCTGCTGGGAAAGTCACTCCTCCTGTCACCGGTGTCTTTCAGCTCCAAGTCAGCCAGCAAAGGATTTGTTTTGTTTGCTGCCTTTCAAAGCCCGACCTGTGCCCCAGGGGTGGTTTTGTGGAGAGCAAGGAGGCTGGAAGAGGAGCTCCCCCAGTTCAAGCCTGTAACTGGTGATGGTGTACTGACTGAATAAAAGGAAAGACTCATGACTTCTACAGGGGCAGGATGCAGACAGGAGCCATCATCAGGTCCAGAGGAGGGGCTTCCCCCTCTTATGAACAGGTAGGTCAATGTCCCAAAGGAGAACCAAAAGTAAAAACAAACAAAAAAAAAATGCCCTGACCCAACAAATCAACAGTTCAATATATCATAATTTCAAGATCTTCCCATGATATGAATCCAACGCAGCTTCCGCAAATTATATTTTTCCAGACAGTGGAGGCAGGGCCCCTGGCATTCCCCCTGAGAGCCCCGTATTGGGTCCGAGGAGGATCTGGAAAGAAAATGGTCAGCTGAGCAGCTGTGAGGACACAGGGTGGCTGCCACCCGCTGCCCTCCGCCCACCCCCACCTACTGAAGGTACCAACAGCATTTTGCAATATCAGTTCCTCTCCTGCTGTGATAACGAAGTGTAATGCTTGAACACACCAAGTGCAAACAGGGCGGATCTGGACATGGCTGCATTTGGCCGACGTGTGCTCCCTGTTGCATATTTCAGCCCAGCAAAAGCCAGGTTGTGTTTGCAGGAGTTTGCCACCAGCCTATTACTGGGAATCGGCAATATCATACTATTTGAAAATCCAACCAGAGCATCTGGTGGGATGAATCAGGCCATAACGTATAACAAACTGCACTCTTTGGTTTCTGCTCCTGAAGCTGCTTCAACAGCTGGTGAATGCAAAGAGGTGCAGGCAACCCAAACCCGCTCTGTGGGGCCAGGGAGTTCTCGCCTCACCTGTCGCTGCTGCAGCTGCTGCTGTTGCTCCATCTGCAGTTTTTCAGTTTCAAAGACGACAGGAAGAACCAGAATCATGAAAGAGGTGGTCCCAATCCAGAGAGCTGCCCTGGAAAATCTAGGGAGGTGAAAGAACACCAGGAATAAGAATTGATTCTTTAGCTGCTCACAGGCAGGAGCTTTCTCCCGTGTTTCCTTCCCGGGCCTCAGACAAAAG